TTTGGTTGTGTCTCTGTGATGATGGAGATGTCGGATAAGGCGGGAGGAAGTAGGACTCACCTCGTTTGATATGTTTGAGCTGCCTCTGCGCCTCGTCCCTCTCCTCAGTCAGTCTGTTGCACTGCGGGAGCAGACAGCAGGTCAGACCGTTAGATTGTGTTTCACAAAAGCACAGACCACACAGGTCACCACTAGTGCCAGATAGAGTTACACAGACACACTAAGCAATTTAAGCTCTTCACACATAATGGTCATCATGGAAAAATCTCAAAATGCGATATTGTAAATATTTTTTAGCAATCGCCAGGTTATCAAAATATGACGCACATCAACAATAGCAATTTTTTTCTGAAAAAACTGAGAAGAATAAACAGAGGAAAAAACATACAGCAGATTTCAACAGATAGTTTGAAAGGGTGCTTCAGGTATTCATTTTTCATCTCTAAAAATAAATGTCTGAAGCACAAATAAGGTTGCAGATCAATAAGGACTTCTTGTGAACAAAACAAAGGAGAAATGTTTGACCATAGTGTACAGAACTATGTTTGGAGGAAACACAGCATATCAGCACAAATACCCCCTATCAAATGTAAAGCCTGATGCCACAAAGGCTGCGATTTGGGCTTTTTTCAGCTGCATAACAGAACTTGAGACCCTTACAGGCATTGACTCAAACTTAAACCAGTTTTATTGTGAAAGATACGTCACACAGATTCTAATCTTCCAAAGCGTGGACATCTAAGCAAATTCAACCCAACGTCAGATTTGAAACGCTCACAAAAAAGAGCTGCATTTCAACTTGTTCAGAATAACTAGCATGATTAATGTTGAGGCTAATGATAAAATGGTCAGAAGGAGACTCAACAAGTATTTGTCGATAAGAAGGGTTGTGGGAGAAACTGTGCTGAGACCTTGAAAGTGAAGAGTAGAAGCAAATGTCAACAAACTTCAATGATCTGAAGCAACATTGTAAACAATAATTTCTTCCACCATAAGGTGAGAGACGATCCTATAAACTTATTCCATATCAACTATAAAGCACGGCAGTGGCAGGCAAATGATAGACGGTTGAATTGCAGCCTTTCAGTAATAGAATCTATCATAAACCCCTCTGTGCTAGTACATCTAAAAAAATGTAATATTGAGTAAAAGTGCAACTGTGCTACATTTGTGCAACTTCACTAAAGTGTGCACAGATTGTGTTAAAGTGATCTGTTTTTCTACTCAAGCTTAATTGTTCTGATGTTGTTCTCTATCTGCTGAGCCTGCAGTGCCACTTGGAGGTCAAGTAATTATACAGTAAACAGTGCATTGATTCAGTGCAGTGTGTTTAGTGATACTGAGCAAGCTGCAAGAAAGTGACAGATAATAATGTGAACAGCTGCCCTACAAAGACACAACAAAGAGAGGCATTTGCTGCTTGTTCTCACTTCCTCGGGTATCTGAGGTTTGAATTGTTTCCTGTTCCATATATAGAGTGGACGGCTGTGGAGATATCTGGAGGTCGGAAATTTAAAACTTGAGTGAAAAAAATGGTAAATTTTCAGGAGTGTAGAATAGAACAACAGCTGAATTATACTTTAATCTGTTAATTAAAAATATTTAGCTTTTTTTCCTTTTTAAAGTTCAGCTTATATTGACACTTCCAGATGATGGAAGTGGTGTTGTTATTCAGTCATGGCTGGAGTTGGATAAATCCAGTCTGTAAAAAAATCAGTTTTCAATTCTTCTAAATAAATTAGTTTTCAATTACTACATGTTATAAGTAAGACAGTCATCAGTCCTAAAATTGTTGACTATCATTGCTCAGAACTGAGTGTCATCCTTTTTGTGGCTCCCCAGAATTCATATAAGTCTCTTTTTCTTTGTACGACAGACGAAGCTGAACTTTTACTGACCAGAGTCGAAGGAGGAGTTTCCGCAAAGCTGCTCTGACATCCACTCGCTTCATTTGAAATGGTAATTGGAACTCGTAAAGAATTCAGTGACCTCTCGTGCAGCAAAAACAACAATAGTGCAGGCAAACAAAACTGTCCCTATGGTTTCAAAAGACCTCCAGAGATCACTGAATGTCTACAAGCTTTTAAAAGGAACCAAAGAGGAGAAGAGAAAAAAGCAACATGGTTTCCAAAACATCAGACGACACAGGGGTCAATGTCACCATCTAAAATCCTAACCAATGTTAAAGTTTAGATCAAAAGCTTAAAACCAGTTTGAACTAAACTGAACTAAAAATAAAAAATCTATAAACTATTAATAGTTTATATTGGCCTCCCACTGCTGGAGACCAGTGAATAAAATGAACATTATACAGGACAAAACAGTCAAGATTTTGTAGCAAATAGTTTTTTAGCCCGTTAATCTGACTAAATATTATCATTGCTTGCAAGTGAGGTTTAACAGAATTAACAGACAAAAGATACAGAAGCACACACACACCCACTGAGATTATTTGTCAAATAAAATGCTTTTAAGCTAATTTAGGCAAAAACGTAGCTTACAAGTGGTTCACATTTCAGTATGTGGAAGCACAAAACTGCAACAAAACCAGGCTGATCTCCCTGGATAAAACCTTCATTCTGCTCCTTTTCACTGCTCCAGCTGCAGGAAACTATTGGCCCAGATTTGTCCCACTTCTACCTGCTTTCTCACAAACTGTCATCTTAGATTTCTCCAAGGAGCCCAACAAGAGTAGCAGGTTCACTGAAACACAGAAAGACACTGATGCTGTCAAGGTAACCAATAGAATATCAGCACCCCGATATTCTTTTGCAACACCTGAGGAAATGCAAGATGTTTACACTCCACATGAGATAATCTGCAGACAGGGAAACTATTAGTCATTCACTCCACAAAGCTGGTCATTATGGAAAAGTAACAAATAGACAAGCATTGTTGAATGAAAACCATCATTTGACCTGTTTAAAGATCTGTGTCATGCTGTGTAGAGGACAACAAACATGTAGAAAAAGGCACTCTGGTTAGGGGAGATTAAAATTGAAGCTTTTGTGTGGTGTGCTAACACCACACATCACCCTGAACGCACCAAGGTGTCATATGGTGGTTAAAGAGTCATGCTGTGGGGATACCTTTCTTGTATAGGAACAATGATGTTGGTCAGAACTTATAAGAGGATAAACGGAGCTAAACACAGGGCAGTCCTAAATTAAATTTGGAATCTTGGAATAAAACAAACCAGGCAAAGATACCTTGGGATGGCCCAGTCAAAGCTCAGAAACACTCTTCATACAATCTGAGAGTGAGTTTGTTTGATTAATGTAAAAATATATGTATCCCAAAACTCTTGGTGTATTGCAGTCAAAGGTTGTTGAGCAAAGCCTTAACTTCACAATTATTCACTACTTTGGATTGGTCTGGACCATAAAATACAAATAAAACACATTTAGTTATTGTCACATAAAATGTGAAATAACTCAGTGTATCAATATTATCATTATGAATAATAATAATAATAATAATAATAATAATAATAAGAAGAAGAAGAAGAAGAAGAAGAAGAAGAAGAAAAGGGGTTATATCTATAGTTTCCTGGTTCCCCCACATATCCTGTATGAATATATATATATATTTAAAATATAGCTACAAATAACAATTTAAACCAGAGGCCATTTATTATCTCACCTTAAAATTGCAAATCAGACATTACAGCCCGGAAAAATGCCTGACAGTTTCTCTATACTCAGCACCTGCTTTTTGAGAGAGAGGCTCAAAAGATGAACGGTGGAGCACATTTAACAAGTAATTCCTCATTTGCGTGAAAATGGCGAGTGCGGGGCGACTGATCCAGGGAGGGGTCTGGCTCTTTCATGTCGATGCCGGCCGGCGCATGCAGCCAGCCGGCAAAATGTCCCATTGGAGACGGAGAGTAAAATAAGTGTTGTTTTTCAACACTCTGGTACGCTTCATCTGCAGTGGAAACGACTTACACGAGAAGAAGGTGGGGTTGTTAGTATGTTTTATCGGTTTACCTCTGTTTCCATGTGTGTTTCGCTGTCCTCTTCGCATCCCTCCGCCTGCGCGGATGATGAGCAGGGAAGCATTATTTCCAGAAAAAAGGCTGAAAATAATCCAACTGGCGCACGTTTAACTTTAGGGTGACCTTAATAAAAGATTTACTCTAGAAGCAGCTCATAATGCCGTTGTGTTTGGCTGATTTTCTTTCTTCCAGACACATGGGATAGAGCGCAGCTCTTTGGTCCTGATGGTTGCTCTCCTCTCCCTCCTCCTTTCACTGACAGCATCATCTGCCCCTCCCCTTCCATCCAGCGGTGGAGTCCAGTCAAATGTGCGCATGTGTATGGAGATCATTCCCAATAATATCTAGTCATTTATGCTACATGGTCGCCTCCACAGTTTGTGATTAAAAAGAAAAATGTTGTCGGGATGCGTTTAACTGCTGAAGAAGGAGTCGGAAAATCCGATCGTATATATATCATATATACATATATATATCTTAAAAAATATATTTGTATACTTTTTAAAATATACAATGATAAAGAAATATATAATTAAAACAAAAAAAATTTAAATATGTAATAAATATTTCATATAATATGTAATATAAATACTGTATATATATTTATATATGTAGATATACACAATTACAGTTGCACAGCAGTGCCATCTACCGTCTATGAAATGGAATTACAACATCTTTTTTAGTTCTAAAATACTCAGAATAATATAATCTGTGTTCAAATAATTTTGTTTATCCATTAATTAATGTAAAAAAAAAGTCACAATCATGTATTGTATAGACTGAATATATAAGGTGTTTCCAAGAGGTTAATGCTATTTAATTTTGATTATTTGAATAACAAAATTTTAATACATATAAAAGTTGTATTTTAGTACAGAAATGTTATGCTGTGGAATGTTATGTTGTGCAAATAAATACTCAACTAGTGCATCACCATTTCAATGAAAAACTGTCGTCCGTCACGTGACTCTTGTGGATCACGTGACAGTCTGTTCAGGCGGCGGTTGTAAATACGGAAGCGATGGTCTGGGGAAGCATTCTGACTTTCTCTGCCCGTGGAGAAGCTCGCTTTACCGTCGCAGAGTAGCGGGGTTTGCCACCGTAATGATGAACAGGATGGCCGGCTGTCTGAAGGGGAGTGTAGCCGTGATGGTGGTTTTAGCTACGGTGGTATTTCAGGCGAACTGCGACTCCTTTGGAAGGAAGAGAGTCACAAGCGCAAAGGTAAGTTTTCTTCTTTGTCAAAAAAAAAAAAAAAAAAAAAAAAAAATCTCTGTTCGGCTACACCCGAGTTCTTACAGTGTTTATTTCTCAGTTACTTTCATGCATTTCTCGAATCATTTTCAACGTTTTCAAAAACAGCTACGCGCATTTCCCAGAACAATTAGTAGAAACAGTGAAACAACATGGATTACCTGCAAAATCCAGTTTCTTCCTCGAAATACTGATTTCGTCTCTCATAATGAAATATCTGTATCAAAGAACACGTCAATGCTGCATCATGTTATGTCTTGTCTTCCTTTACTTTCAATTTCCACGCTGCAAAATGATTGCTGTAATATAAGAACTTGTTCAAGCATTTCCCATGTTAAGACTTATGCAATGAAATTGTGCTTACATTTTGGGAAAATTCAACAGAAACCTGTTTAATACATTTTGATCAACATGACAAAACCATTTGAAAATGTGAGAAGAAGCAGATAATTGTACATAACCACTTGCACCAGCAGCACTTAGCAAACATCTGGTGGAACTGCTTGTCTGCATGTCATTGCTCAAAGGGGCTTTTTGATGTGCACAAGTGACGATTTGAAGGTTGAACAAGTAGTTTTGAGAATTTCAATTCTGTTCTGAGAAATGCACCAATGCAAAATTGTCAAATTGTTCATTGAAGGATTAAAAATAGTTATTTAACATGATGCATTAACATTAGAAAGGTTGGATTTCTTTTTTCATTTCCAGGTACTGTAGTCAAACCTTGGTATTTATAGAAATATGTGCAACACATTCTGTTTAAGTTTTAATATATTCATAAACTTATTTAAATCTGGGAAAAAACCTGGCTGAAAACACTGGAAATATGTTCTCTGGAAAAGAGCAAGTTTTAAAACTTTAATAATGTATAGAATCCCTAAATGCTATTTCAGTTTGGCCTTTTTTTTTTGCCTAGCATGGAAGTTATATTTTCTTTACAAATCTTTCATGCACCGTACTAAGAAATCAAAATTAAAGTTTAGTGTTGTGTTTGACATCTGGCATGAGATGGCCAGATAGTCATATCTTTTTTGAAGCTGCTCAAGAATCCTGGTGGAAAAGAAGCTTAATGATAGCTAAATGAATAAACTGTTATAGGCAACTTCAGAGGAAGATACATTTGATTTATCTCACATTTCAGTTTTTCTATGTTGGTTTAAAGAATAAAGCTAGAGCTTTCTGGCAGAAAGTCAAACAGTAAAGTGAATGTTTCATCACTCTGCAGGTTTTGGGCTTCGCCTGGAAAAACTGCGGACAGCCCGACGCTCCGGCTGTGCTGAAGAGCCTGACTGTGTCTCCAGATCCCATCAACATTCCGGGATCACTGACGGCTGCTGCGTCTGGATCCACGTTGGTTGAGCTCGCCTCCCCTCTTTCTGTGAGTTGACGTCTTGCAACACAAACCTGAAACAATCAGCTGAAAATCTTTCATACGTTTCAAGATGTTTGTTATTTGGATGTTTAGCCGTTTGGTTTGGTTACATCATAAAAAAACCGCTGAGACTCAGCAAAACACACTGACAATGAAAACAGTCACTGCTGACACTGAAGGTATTTGGTTCTCAATTTGTTCTGATTACACACTCATCAGATTAGACATTGACTGTTAGACTGTTTATAATGAAACAATAGATAACTTCATCAGGTTTGCAACAGCAATAAACTAAAAGTAGAAGTAGTCAACGCCTGCACCACTAGCACTTCATCATTTCTGTGGGAATAAACCACAAACAGCGTTTATCAGTTTTAGCATTAACTACATGTTGCATGTAGTCTGTGAGAAAGCCTCAGACACTGTGTTTCTCAGCAGCAGCAGCAGAGCTGTTTCACTGCAACTTGCACATTTTTGTTTATCTCAGCAGATTGGATTTGCTGCCCAATAATCATGTGAGCTTACTGATTAGAGGTTTGCAAATTTTTTTGTTTTCTTTTTTTCTTTTTTAGAGCACAGTGACTTGAAACAGCAACTTAAACACTTTTAAAAAATGAAATATATAAACTAGTGTTTCTACTTTCAACTTCTTTTTTCTTCTGTCAATTTGTGGATTATTTTTTCTGTAAATGTCTTAATTTTGTAGGGTTGCACACAACAGCATGAAACAAATCAAAGTATTAAAGAAACTGTTTGTATGTAAAGTATGGTAAAACTGATATTGTATTTTGTTGTTCCTCGTTTTAAATAGCTTATTAAGAGTTTACATTTTTTGCTGCTGTCTCCAGCTGAGCTTCCACCTCACTGAGCACCTTTCCTCCACGCCTTCCCCACTCAGCTCCTCCAAACTAGCACCAGCAGCACTTAGCAAACATCTGGTGGAACTGCATGTCTGCTGAGCTGATCATATGAACTACTCCTCAGTCCAACACTCCTAAAAACGAGAAAATAAAGGAGCATTGTTGTGACGACGTGCTGATACTCTAGTGTCAGAAAGAGCCCCAATTACAAGGCATCATATTGTGAAGTCAAATTTCTTTTAATTTATGTTTGACATGTACAGCCTTTTTATAAAACCTGAAAGTTACCAAGTTACTTGATTGTGCAATGTGCCTGGAAAATACACAATACTGTTTTAACAGCTCAGCTCCAGACATTTGTTACTCCTGCCGGTCAGTTATCATGTCGTGTTTGTGCAGGTTTGAAACTAAAATCAATCTTTTTGCATCTCACTTAGACCTTGTTTTTTTTTTTTTTCCCCCAGGTGAATGTTACCCTGGAGAAGGAAGTGGCTGGTTTCTGGGTGCAGATCCCCTGCCTGGAGCAGGTCGGCAGTTGTCACTATAAGGATGCCTGCGACATTCTGAACCAGCTGATCCCACCGGGACAGGACTGTCCAGAACCGCTGCACACCTACGGCCTACCCTGTCACTGCCCCTTCAAAGCGGTGAGTTTTCTTTTCACCGATAGAAACTGAGCCTGGGTTAGGTTTTGGCATCATTGTTTAATGCCGCAAATTAAAAAAAGGTTTCAGTGATCAAGGGGACTGGAAATACTCACTGTATATTGAAATCTGATCTACCTCTTAAAGGTCAGGTAATACTGAGCTTCAGTGTTTCCAGGTTTGCTCTGATTTTGATATTTTCTCCTCAGGGCTCTTACTCGCTGCCTCAGTCTCAGTTCTACCTGCCCTACATGGACCTGCCTTACTGGCTCAGCAATGGGAACTACAGAGTTCAGGGAGTCCTGGGTGGTGGGGGCAAAGAGCTGGGCTGCCTCAAGCTGTCTCTCTCCATTCATTCCAACTGAGATGATTCACAGCAGTTTCATGTTTCTGTTTGTCTGCACAGAAAAATGATGTAACTACAGCCTTTAGAAAGTTGCGTCAACTTTTAATTTTATGTTTGATTTGTGTTTCAGGAGCTGTTGTTTCCCCACATCAGATTAGGTACTACTAATGGTGTTTTATTTAAACAGGATCAAGGTTTTGCTAGTTTTTTTTTGTTGTTGTTTCATTCTATGCTTTTGTGTACAAAAAGTTACAGTAACCAGAGAAGAAAACTTACATTCTGCACATGAGCCTTTTATTCTATTTTTAATGCTGTCTTTTGTCTCAAGCTACATTCCATTTGAAAATTGTCTTTTTTTTCTACCTAGTGGCACAAGTTTCTCTTTTCTTTCAGCTCAAAAATTATATTATACAATTAATTTATTAATTGATTATATAATTGATTATATTTTTAGCAGTTAACAAAAACCAAGTTGTGCAGTTTAATTCGTTCAGCACAATTTTTGGATAGTTTGCTGAAATGTTAAGATTTTTTTTTTCTTCAACAAGTTTTATTTTTTAAATTAGAGTAACAGAATGATAATGAAAACTGAAGTGGGAGTCTGTGGAATATTTGACTAAATCTGTAAACATAGTAGTATAATAAACTTAAACATTGGTCATATTGTTGCACGCAAAAATCCCAGTGTTTGAGGCAACATTACTTCTCTTGTTTAGTTTGCATCATCTCAGGTAAAAGGATGAGGTCATTTTTTCTTCATTAAGACTCAGTTTAAAAAAACAAAACACTTGAATTTTTGGTAATGGGCACATTTTACAACGGTTTAAATATTCTTCTTATAATGTTAAAGCAAAATTATTTTAACACTGAAAAAAAGCTTCATAAAATTGCCATATTCATTAAAATACTATGTTTTAATAAATATGTTGTTTGCACTGTATAATTGTTTTTTTTGACTCCTATTTCTGTAGCAGCAAGAAGGAAAAATGAAAGTGATTCTATGTTTTTCTGCCTGGGTGATAAAATCTTATTTCTTTTATTTTGTTGAGGAAATGGTTTTAACAAATCTATTAGTGGCCAACATACAGTAAATAGATTTTAATTGTAGATGGTAGTTTTAGCCAATTTTTTTTTAAAGAACAAACTCCAAGACAATTCTGCCTTTTTATAATTTAGAAAAATATAAAGTTTGGTTTTCATTATATAAGTGAACATACTGTTATATTTGCATGTTTAGTAAGATTTTTTTACATAGAGTAACCAACACTAAATCTCCTGTGGGGTTTGAGTCTTAAAATATGCAGTTGCCTGTTTCACCACACGGTGGGAGTATTTTACAGTCTTCCAACAAAGAATTACACAAAATAAATATTTTTTCTCCAAATTTTTGTGTCAGTTTTCATGTTCTCAGAAAATGATCAAATAACACAACTCAATCATTACAGTTTCAGTTTCCTGGGGTTGTGTTTTTATGATAACATTTCAGCATAAAAATCAGTTTTGAGACTACAGCATGATTGGATATTATAGGGAAGCAACAAACAATGCAGAAAACAAAAGGAGGAAAGAGACGAATTGCACAATAATAGCAGATAAGATCTGCTGGACTTACAGGATTTTATTTTCTTTTGGTTCGTAGATGAGTAGAATGACTGCTTAAATAATTTGATTCATCTAGACTTAAGTCCACCTGTGGCAGCTGAAGATTGCAGTCACACGTAAGAACAGCAAAACCAGAGAATATTTAGTAACGTTGGTTGCACTTTTCAATCCTGAGATTTACGTTGATGCAGTTTTCAACTTCAATAAAACACTTTCCAGTTACTGGTAATATGTCGGTGGTATATCTGCTGTACACATTCTGTGGTTGGGCTCTTAGTGAGGCCACATTATCACAGTCTCCCTGGTTAAAATGCTGCGGCTGCAGTTGATTCAGTGTGCTTCCTGCTTCCTGTCTCAGAAACAAGTGGTCTGCAGATGCTTGCAACACACAGCCAGTTGGGACGTACAAAAAATACCTCCTTTAAACTGACTGAAAGCTGTTTTCCTTGATGTTTGATGGAAAATGTCACAAATTGAAAGAAATAATATTCACAAAGCATTTAGCATAAAAGTATATCAATTTTGATCAATTTTACTTTCATTCCTGATTTAACTTTGTTTCCATTCCTGTTCAAAGCATCATGTTGTAAGAAAAAACTCAAAACAAAAAACGAAAGAACAAAAACGTTCTGAACTGAGAAATTCCCCGTTTAAGTCACACGTTCAAGTAGCTTATATGTAAATTAAATTAGTCTAAGTTCTGTTCCCTGTTTAGATTTGCAGAAATGAGAGGAACGTGTTGAAGACATCATTAAAGAATGACCAAATTTGAAGCTCTATGTGCAATTTCTGCTTAATAATAACCAGTGGTGACAGTAAAAATAAAATCAAAGTAATATTTACAACTTTTTTCCATCTCAATAAATTATAACATCATTAAAATGTTTTCATGTCAGAACTTTAATTCAAAATGTAAAATGTAGCTTCACTGATATACTGCAATGATTTATTTCTGTTAATTATGATAATTGTGGTTTAAAGCTCATGAAAAACAAATTTAGCTTTTCTGAAAACTGCAACATTAGAACAACTTAAAACAGATTCTCCCTGTAGTGTTCCGCAGACAAATATATTCATACATTACTTGGTTGGTTCTCCTTTTGCATAATTTACTGCATTAGTACAGTATTTCATCCTGTAGCTATGCTAAGGAATAAAGAAAGCCCAGGTTGTCAATAGGAGCCTTCAGGACTACAGGTCTTATCTTCCACACCGAACTGGGATTTTGTTACTTTTCTACAATCTTTTAAAATAAAAAATACATTTACAAATAACAAGACTGACTGGACACATATAAACATATATATATAACATGGACACGAAGGAATAAACCATCAGATGGGTCCAACCCAGCAGTTTTGGCAAAACTCCAACTGGCAGGTATAAAAATGGACAAAACAACCAAAGAACTTCCTGTTTCTGGCGCTAAATATTGATGTCTGAGTTGCAGCAATGAAGTATACAACTTATTCTGCTGATGTCTAATCTCCTTTGCTGGACTTCCTGTCTCTGACCTCCATCATCAACCTTTTCCTGAGACAGGAAGCTTGCACTGGGTGAATGTAAAGAAGAGACAGAGGAAAGTCTGCATAAAAATGAAAAAGGACGAGTAGAGGATTAGAAAAAGAAGAGAGGAAGGCGTTTAAAGGTCAAGATGCCAATAAACGAATTAGCAGAACAATAGAAGTGGAGGTGAAAGGGTTCGGCTTGGTCTGTGAGAGTTAGCAGACATGTTGCATTATCTGTTCTCGTGTGAAATAATCAATTAGAAGATAATAAATAAAAATGTTGCAGACATCCTGATGTCAGGGTAATGATGATAAGCCATGCTGCATTTGCAATGATATTAGTTTTCCAGTGATAAATATCTAAGCATGATCATTTATTTTAAATACAAGTAACAATAACTTAGTTAATATCATTAGCAGTATGTTAAACTTACATTTTTACCGCTTGGAAAAGAAGAAAACAAGTGAAGAAGGTCTACTGAAGTTCAGCTGAAAGGTACCATTATGAAAACTAAATGAAGGCGTGAGAAAAGTGGTCTTTTTCAATGAAAAATGTTTGGAGGCCATCAACATTTTGGGCCTGTAGAGATTGTTTCCTTTGTTGCTGCAGTGTTTTAAGAGTAGTTATCAAATGTCAGTATCCTAAGTGCACCAGACAACATTCTACACACCAGAGGAGCACTGATTTCTGGTAAGTGACTTTCTGATGTCCCACTGACTCCAGTCTCAAATATATAAGATCATCAAACAGTTTCACCACCGTCAAATGTACATTGTACTTTTAAAATTTAAGAGCTTTTGTTAGGCTATAGTGGCCTTTATTGAACTGTAAACACAGTCATGAAATACAGACAACGGTCTTGGTCTTCCAAGGCTCAGAATCAAAGTCAGAACAACCTTTTCAAAGACTAACCTCTGCAGACTGCCTGCTAAACCACCAGAGCCTCTCATCCTGCACAGAGCCATTTTTAAAATAAAAGTTACTCTGATGAGAACTCCAGCAATGTCTAATCAGTAATGCAAATTTATAAGAGATAATGAAACTAAAACTACCATTAATAAAATGAGCACAATAGGTGAATTAAAAGTTTTAAATTTAAGAGCAGGACTCCATGGAGCAGCTTTTCCCAACGCTGGTCCTCCAGCCACAGTGCCCTGATTTTGGATTTTTCAAGCACACATACAGTAATTTAAAAAAATGTGAATAAACTTGTGAAGTGCTATGGAACAGATGCTAAAATTTCTTGCTTTAAAGCAGGTTGTGAAATTCAGAAAAGTTGCAGGATAACTCCAAAAGAAGGAAGACAGAAAAGAACTACAAAGTTTTTTTCCCCCTAAATCTGTTTTGTCCTTTCATAGAATAATTACATTTGACTCCCTTTGGATCTGTCTTAACAGACAAAAATGCTGAAAATATTTAAAGTCACTTTTTTTTTTCTTTCTTAATTGATTTCAGAGGAGAGAAGCAGCTTCTGTCTTCATCTGAAAATTAGATTAGACTGAAATATTCATCCACACATTCAGCTTGACCTCATTCTAGTCTATGGTATTTGCTTTGTGTGACTCTGATAGTTATCTGGCACATGTGGGTCAGCAGATCAGTCATACACACAGTCACACACGTCTACACACGCACACACAATGTCCTTGAAGGGGTTTTCAGCAGCTTTCAGCAGCTTTCAGCAGGGTTTTAGAAAAAACAAAAGGTAAATTAACCACCAATTCCTCTGCTAATGGCTGCAATGACATACACACATAAACACATGAATCTTTGAATTCTTCCATTTTTCTATTAGTCTAGTTTCAAATGACAAAATATAAATACAGAAGCAAATTTGTTTTTGCAATACTCAGGTACTGATCTTATCACATCTGATTTCATTTTTAAAAATAAAGTCAGACTAACAAAAATATAGTTATGAGCAATTTCTGATATTTTAAGTACTTCCAGTGCCAGAGTGTACTGTTAACAGATTACGTGACAAATAACGGTACAAATGGTACAACAGACTCAGCAGATAGAAAATAACAAAAATAATTTTAACATCAACTGCAGGTCTTTGTCTGGTGCATTTTCAGTTACTATTGTTCTTCATTTACTGAATGAAGAACCCTCCAATAATACATTTATTTAAAAGTTTTATTGTCATTCTAAATTTTTGTCTTAGTTTAATCTGTTGTAGTTTTCTCTTAATCTCACGACTTGTTGAAACTGGTTCGCCTGCTGTTACTTTTTGACTTTTTCAGCACTGCTGATCTTATTTTTAGCTTTTTTTTTTTAAATATAGCCTTAAAGTGAAAGCAGAAGTTCAGCCTACCAAAACTATTTATCTTACATTTTAGGCAAATATCATATGGAAAATGTGCTGTTAGTGCACCTAGTCCAAAGAAGCAACAGTTGGGACTCTTGAAAAGATGCAGTAATGTTAAACAACCTCAGTTGTGAATGAACGTGGGAAGACTGACAGTGTGTAACTTCCTACCACACACTTTTATGCAGGTAGTGGGTTAATTGGAAGCAGATGTGTACATGTGTGTCTCTGGAGAAATGGTCTTCCCTCCTTAAAAGCTTTTCAGCAAACAAGAGTCACAAACTGAGCCACACACTAACAGTGTTAGCTGATTTGTTGCAGACAAGAGGCTGAGGCTGTTTGTTTTGGAGATAACCTAATGCGACTGGTTGACCTCTGTTCATCTCAGATTTGGGTTCCTTGGACAGGTTGCAGAAACGGGTAGACATAGGGGACATTTGAGTTTCTCAGATTCAAATAATGATTCAACATGAATCAGTTATGGCGTTGATCTAAACTTAGAATTCAGATGAATGATTATAGTGAATCACAGAGATGATGGTTTCAGGTCTGGGCGTATCAGGGTCTCATCTGTGTTTATTGCAGATGATGTGGTTCTACTGGCATTTCCAAACAATGACCTCTCTGTTGCAACAGTTCACAGTTGAATTATGTTATTTGCAGTTCCCGAATGTTGGCAGGCAGAAGATAAGTAGATAGAAAAGTTGGAGCTTGATCTGCAATGATGACGGCATTAAGCTATGCCAAAAGGCCAAACTATCTATTTTCTGGTCCATTTATGCTTCAATCCCCATATTTTGGCCATGAGATATGCACTATCTCTCTTACAATAATATCACTAATTAAAGTTCTGTGTGTCCTGATGACCCAGAGCGAACTGATTCATTTATAAATGTATTTCTATCAAACCAGGGATGGCAGAAAGGTTTATTTAACTCAGTCATGTCAAAACTCTTATCTTA